ATGCTGATGATGATGATGATGATGATGATGATGATGATGATGATGATGATGATGATGGCTGCTGCTGCTGCTGCTGCTGCTGATGATGATGATGATGATGATGATGATGATGATGATGCTGCTTCTGATGCTGCTGCCGATGATGATAATGTTGATGATGATAATGATGCTGCTGCATATGATAATGATGATGATTATGATGATGCTGCTGCTGCTGATGATGATGATGATGATGATGAGGATGAGGCTGCTGCTGCTGATGATGATGCTGCTGCTGATGATGAAGATTATGATGATGATGGTGATGATGATGATGATGATGATGATGATGATGATGATGATGATGATGATGATGATGATGATGATGACGCTGATGATGATGATGATGATGATGATGATGATGATGATGATGATGATGATGATGATGATGATGATGATGATGATGATGATGGCGTGTGTGTGTGTGTGTTCACATATCATTTCCGTAATCTCTGAAGGCCGTCGCTGTCGCGTCCCGCATCTGTGCGGCTCAAGTATCTTTTCTGGGGAGGTAGGCCTCCTAGCACATGTGTGTGCGAACCATCGGCCTTCCTCTGCTGAGCAATTTCCTCGGACTCTTCATGCCGCGCTGGTGGCTAATGCCCGGCGCCATGCCTGCGTCGCCAGAGCCGGAGGCCCACCTCTGCCTGAGGTGGATCTAGAGCCGCGGGTTGCCGACGGCTCGTCGCTGGTGCCGCTCCGCGAGTGCTTCTCGGCGGCGGTCAGCGCCTTGGGCGGGCTCCGAGAGTGCCCCGACGCCTGCAGCTGTACCCCTTGCGAGGCCTGCCCTGAGGCAGGCGGCAGCGGCCCGAGCTGGGCCTGGGAGATCGGCTTCAGCGGTTTGGGACTCTTGCTCGCCGAGCTCTGTCGGCTGGTGGCCTCGACTGTGTGGCAGCTCGCCCGGACGTTGTGTGCTGCCCGCCGCGTCTTCGTGGGACCTGGCTCCAGCGCTCCTGTGACTGACGCGCGGGCGGGCGAGAGGCGCCTGGGCGACGCGGGAGGCGCAGAGCAATCGCATCCAGGGGCTCAGGCGGTTTTCACGATTGGAGTTGGCGATGAGTTGTGGGTGGAGTATGACGAGCAGCCGCCAGCGCCCCGCCTGCTCCACAAGCGGCTCGTGCTCTCTGTGTCCGCTGAGTGCGCAGCTGTGCTCGCGCCGACTTGGACGTCTCCACCGAGGAGTTTGACGCGGCGAACACCGACACCAGGGACTGGTGGAAACACTTCTCCGGTGGTGCGCCCGCCGGCGCGCGGATCGCGCCTGGCGGCGTGCGAAGGTACGACTTCTGCGTCGCGCCTTCGATCGTCGAGATCGCGGATGCCGTCGTTCGGGCTGGCGTGCAGATGGCCACGCACGACGGCCTTCCTCCCACTGGCGCTGGTGGCGCTGCTGGGCTTGGAGCTGTCGTCGTGGGTGGCCTCGCTTGCGCCGTGGCGGCCCCCCCGTGCGCCGCTGGGGGCGCAGCGCCTCGCTCGAGCCCAGGCGTGGGCTGGCCGCCAAGCCTGTGGCCGCCTCGGGCGGCGTCGCCGCAGGGCCGGCCAGCGCGGCGGCCCCCGCGGCCGGCGCTGGTGGTGGACTCATTGGCCTCGCTGCTCTGGTGGTCGCTCCACCAGGCGCTGGCCCGCCGTCTGCAGTGGCGCCCGTGGGTCCCGCGATCACCACGGGTGACGGCGGGGGGCCTGCCGCGCCAGGCGCGGGCGCGCCGCCCGCCAGCCCGCCTGCTGGAGCAGGCGCCGACGACCTGCGCGCGCTCGCCACCGCCTACGAATCGCCCATCGGCGCCGCGAGTTCCGCGACTGCGTGGAGCTCATGCGGCCCACCGCGTTCCTGGACTGGCCCGTCCCGGGCCCCACAACGTACAATTGGGTCGCGACGTGCCAGGTGGAAAACGGAGGCTCTCCCATGGGCCACCACATTGCCGGGAAGGCCCCCCTCGGCATCCAGGTGGCTGCCGACGATCCCGTCGTTCACTTTCCGTGTGAGCTCTCGGAGATTATGCAGGTGGCTTAGTCCTACGACCAGTTGGACGGGTCCAACCGGGTTTGCTTGGAGTTGGTGGTCTGGCAGCTGCAGCTCTGCGGGGGGCGCGTCCAGCGGCCGCGCGGAGGGCGAGCAGTTTTTCTTCGCGGCCCTCAGCTTTCAAATTGTCCAAGTGGATCTCGGAGCAGCGCGCCGCCGAGTCCGCGATCGTGAAGGATCGCCGCAAGGCGCCGCAAGGCGCGAGCGGAGCGGGCCCTCCAGCGCCCCCCTGCCGGCGACATTGGTGCCCGCGGCGGGGGGAGGTGATTGCCGTGGCCGCCCGTCTTGCTCGGGCATCCGGGAAGCTGGGCCGCCCCCGGGGTCGCCCAGCAGGCCTTGCGCTCCTTGCCATTCGGCCCCCGCGCCATGCTGGTCAGTCGGCGGCGCGATATTGCCCTTCTCCCTCGTCTTCATCTTGAACTTCAGCTTTCTAGGGGAGGGCGCCTGCGGGGCGCTCAGATCGCCCGGCCCAGCGACGGCGTCGGCGCCCTCGACTCCCGGGCTGGCGGCGGGGCGCCCCCCGAGTGGAAGTTCCCCGCAGTTTTGCAGCGGCGCTCGCTTGGCCGCGCCAGCTAGCGGCGCGTCGAGTTCGGCGGCCCACCGGCCTACGTCAGCGCCCCGGGATCATCGGCAGATCTCTGCTCGAGTTGTCCGCTCTACAGTTCTGCGCGGGCTGACTTGACATCCTGCAGCAAGGGCGTGGTGTCCTGGCCCAGCGGTGGCTCCAAGCCCGTGGCTCAGGAGTCCGCACTTCTCGAGGCTGACCATTTATGGCTGCAGAATTGGAAGGCCCGCGCGCTCCGTCACCCGGACGACTCAGCGGCCTTGCGACGTGACCTTGGGCTGCGTAATCCCTGCGTGGGCCCGGCCCCAAGATCTGCGGGCACGTCGTGGCCGAGCTGCGCAAGCGGGGCATGCTTCGCCTGCTTCCAGCTGGGGGGCGCGAAGGTACCCTTGGCGCTTTCGTGGTCAAGCAGGAGGTTGGACAGCAGAGGCCCATCGTCGACGCGCGCATCATCAACGCCCACTTCAAGGCCCCGCCGTGCGCGGGGCAGCCGAGCGGGAGTGCCTTCTCCCGCGTGCAGAGCCGCCCCGACGTGGACGGCTGGTTCGTCTCCGGTGATATCGCCAACGCTTTTCTATGCCATGCGAGTCCCCGCCGACCTGGCCGATTACTTCGCCCTGCCTCCCGCGGGCTGGGCTCGCTGGCGCCGCCTTCTTCGGCGGGCAGGCCGTGCGCGAGTCCGAGTGGCTGCTCCAGGGGCTGGCCATCCTTCCCATGGGCTGGTCCCGGGCCCTGCGCTCGTGCAAGCGCGTCTCGGAGGCGGCCCTGTCCGCGCCCGTGTCGCCGCTGATCGTCGCGTGCGTGATCGGAGTGCTGGCGTGGCGCCAGGGCCGGGCCAGAAGGCCAGCGTGGCGGCGCGCGTCTGCAACTGCCTGGTGCCGGGCGCGCCGCGCGCGAAGGCGCAGGCCGCCGCGGAGAAGGTCGAGAGCGAGCTGGCGTCGCTCAGCATCCATGTCCACGAGCAGGTCTCCGCCACCTGGGGCATCAGCTTCGAGGGGCTTGAGTTCGACGGGCGGGCGCACTAGGTGCGGGCCGCCGCCCGGCGAGCCGTGCGACTGCGGCATTCCATCGAGGTGCTGCTCCAGCGAGCTCCGTCGCGTGGCCAGGTCGTGGAGGTCCTCGTGGGGCACCGTGCTTGGGCCATGCTGCTCGCGCGGTGCTCGCCCTGTATCTCCGACTTGGGTGTGCGCGTTCATCGAGGCGGCCAAGCACCGGCCGCTCGCGCTCTGGCCGTCATTCAGGCGGGAGCTGTGGCAGGTGCTGTCGCCTCTCCAGCTCTTTGCCGTCGTCGCGGCGCGGAGTGGCGCGACGAGCTCACTGCCAGTGGCGCCTTCGGCTGGGCCTGCAGTGTCTGTCTGCCAGCCCCCCGCTGAGGTCGCGCAGATCGGGCGGGCCCCGGAGCGGTGGAGGTGCCTCTTCGAGGAGCCCGCGGGCGAGGCAGCGCGCGCTGGGGCCCGCGGGGCCCGCCGAGGTGCTGCGCGACTTGGGCCGCCCCCCCCCCTGGGGCAGGCCACGGACATGGGCAGGCATTTCGGCGAGATTGATCTTGCCCTGCTCACGGGCGATGGCTGGGCCGCCACGAGCAAGTTCCCCTGGTGGGGGTCGTCGGACATCTACCGCGACGAGGGCCTGGCGTTGTCGTCCTCGCTGCGGCGCCTCTTGCTGTCCGCGGCTGCCTTCGGCAAGCGGATCGTCTGTCTCGCGGGCGACCCGTCGCTCGCCCTCGCCGCGTGCAGAGGGAGAGGCGCCGCCCGTCAGCAGCAGAGCGTGCTCCGCGAGATCTGCGCCCTCTCGCTGGCCCGCTGCCTGCACGTCTGCGCCCGCGGGCCCCGGCGAGCTCGACCCATCGGGCGGCCCGTCGCGCGCGATCGGATGCGTCGAGAGCCTCGACCCCCATGTGGCTGCGGGTCTTGGCGATCGCCTGCCGGGCGGCGCCGGGCTTGGCAGGCAAGAGGGGCCGAACGGCGCGCCCCGCGATGCCGGGGGGCGGGGCTGTCCTGGGCCCCCTCTCGGCGGCTGGGGGCCGAGTGCCAGCGGCGCCGTCGGCGCTGTCTGAGGCGGCTCTCCGGCGGGAGGCGATGTGCAGATCCCTCTCGCGGGGTATCTTTCCTCGAGCAGCGGTCGGTGTCGACCCCGGCGCAGGCCGACCACCCGGCGCGCGTCCAGGCCTTCATGGCGGTGGTGCTCCGCCCTCCACCTGGACTGTGGCACCTGGGGCGGCCTGGACACCTGTGGTGACCTGCGTCGAGCGCCTCTACTTCCGCGACCGCGGCGGCGACGACGCGTCGCGTCTCCTAGCAGCTCTGATGTTCTTCCTCCCGCGCATCGGCAGGCGGGGCGACCGGTGTCCGTGTCGCGCCTCCCGCAGTCTGGCAGGCTGGGGCAAGTGCGCCCCCTGGCGGATGCGCATGCCGCTCCCGTGGCTCGCGGTGGCGGCGGTGTCGGGCATCGTGCTCCGGCGGCGCTAGTCCGAGCAGACGGTCGCCATGGCCTTCAGTTTCGCCGTCGGAATGCGACGGGCTGGCCGCCCAGTAGATCGCGCCGCCCGACGGGGTGGGGTGGCCAGTGGCAACGCCGGGCTGGCCGCCCTCCTGCTGTGCCCTGCGGCCCTGGGCAAGCCGGGCAAGATGGGGTGCTGGGGCTTCTCAGTGGTGATCGGCGCTTTCCTGTTTTTCGTGCCGTGCCTGCTCGCGATGAAGCGTCGCGCGGCGACGGCCCCCAGTCGCTTCTGGTCGTTCCGTTCCCGCCAGGGGCGCTGGCTTGGCGACGCGGGGGGCGGCGTGCGCACTCGGGCCGCTGGGCTTCCCGTCTCGGTCTACGCCCTCCGCCGCGGGGGCGCGTTGGGCGACCTGTTGGCCTGCCGCCGGCAAGGCTTCGACGTCCAGCAGCGGGGCGGGTGGGCCAGCGACGAGAACTTCAGGAGGTGCGCGAATCAGGCTGGGATCACCTCAGAGTTGCAGCGCGCGGGCCCCGCCGTCGCCGCCCGCGGGCAGGAGAGGGGCGCCCTGCTCGCGGGCATCGTCCTCAACGAGGCCCCCGCGCCGTCGCGCACCTCGCCTGGGCGCTAGACCTTGCCGCCGAGTGCGAGGGGGGCCCCGAGCGCATGTCGCCAGATGCGCCATCTAGGAAAACTTCGCGAATCCTTTCGTCGCCAGACGGGCCCCCCTAACACTGCGGTCGTCGAGCTGTTCGCAGGCTCGGGCAGGCTGTCGGCGGCGGTGCGCCGTCGCGGAGCGGCCGGCCTCCCGATCGACTTCGCCGAAAAGCCGTGGCTCGATCTCAACGACCCCACCGTCGTGTCCGTCATCCGAGGGTGGATCCGTGGCGGGGTCGCTGCTGCAGTGTGGCTGGCCCGTCCGTGTTCGTCTTGGCTCGCCATGGCCCGCCAGGTTCGTCGTGGTGCCGTCTCCGGGACCGCTTATACTTGTGGGGCCTCGCGGGTCTCGGAGCCAAGGCCCAGGCTTCCGGGGGGCCGCCGGCTCAGGTTCGCTATGTCGATCATCCGCCTGTGCCGCTCGATCATCCGGGAAACTCGTGTCCGGGGTTGCAGTGGCTCCTCGCGGTTTCTGACGCCAAGCTCTTTAAATTAGACGTTTTTTGTGTGTTTTGTTCTTTTCTTTTCTTCTTCGTAACCTGTTGGAAATAAAATCACCAGGGCCGCCGCCTGGGGCCGTCGCCATCCTGGGCCCCCCCCCCGCCCGAGGTGTTGCGGAACACACGGTCGATGTGTGTGTTTTTCTGGCGAACACCATATAGTCTTGACGGGCTTCGGTCCCTCTTCCGGCCTCCTTTGGATCCGCCTGGCCGAACCATATCGTGTTCGCTTCTGTATTTTTCCGCTCGCATAATGGACGAACAGCTCTCTCCTCCCTCCTCCTCCTCTGCTCGCGCGAATCGCCTGGCCTGCTCGCTGTCGTCTTGGGGGCTTCGCCCGGACCGACCGCCAGATAGAAATTGAGGATGGTGATGCTGATGATGCTGCTGATGAGGATGATGATGAGAATGATGAGGATGATGGTGAGGATGAGGATGATGTCGTCGTCGTCATTTTTGTTGTTGTTGTTGTTGTTGAACATTATTACTTCTAAAGAAATATTATTGTTGAGACCCCTGGTGCGCGACCCCCCTCCAAAACCTAGGCCGCAGCCTCATTTCCTTCATTTTCTAGCGAAAGCTTCAGAAAAGTGGATTGTGTCCGGATCCGGTTGTTTTGTTGTAATCCGTTTTCCCTTGCAAAAAACACTATAAAATGAAAATTCTTGTTCTTACTTGATCAAATTGCAAGAATCCCTTGCAAAAAATAAGGTAAAGTGGACATTCGTGCGCGCAAGACGAAATCCTTCCAAAACCTTAGGTTTCGTAACGATTTTAACATAAAAACATCAAAAACCCAATGGTTTTTTAAGAAAAAATTGTCAAAATGTCCTTCCGCGCGCGCTGTCCGAATCCCACAAAACCAATGGTTTTTCAACATTTATGTTACATGAGCTCGCGCGAGCTACTTTTTCTTGTTCTAACATAATCAAATTTCAATAATCCCTTGCAAAAAATAAGGTAAAGTGGACATTCGCGCGCGCAAGACGAAATCCTTCCAGAACCTTAGGTTTCGTAACGATTTCAACATAAAAACATCAAAAACCCAATGGTTTTTCAAAAAAAAATGTCCAAATTTCATCCCGCGCGCGCTGTCCGACTCCCACAAAACCAATGGTTTTTCAACATTTATGTTACATGAGCTCGCGCGAGCTACTTTTTCTTGTTCTAACATAATCAAATTTCAATACTCCCTTGCAAAAAAAAGTAAAGTGGACATTCGCGCGCGCAAGACCAACAAAAAACACGACGATCTCAGGAACTTGCCCCAAAAATGTGACCAACTCCGCTCTCTCTGTCTCTCTCTCTGTCTGCTCTCTGTCTCTCTCTCTGTCTGTCTGTGTCATGTATTGTATGTCACAATTGCAGGATGCTGGGCACACGCGCGCCCCGAATAAGTGACCAAGTTCTGTGGGTGTGTACCCCACGCCAGTGTAGTAGCCACGGTCGTCCGCACGCCACGAAGTGAAGTGTCCCAACGTCATAGGGCGGGAAGCTGGGTTTGGGTGGTCGCGAAGAGTCGTTTGGATATTTGGTAGAGCTTGAACTGCCCCCCCACGAAGTGGGGGTATTGTCTCGCGTCGCATGAAAACCCTGGCACTGGTGAGAACACTGAGCGTTCGGGTAAAATGATTGTTGTTGTTGTTGTTGTTGTTGTTGTTGTTGTTGTTGTTGTTGTTGTTGGAAAAGGCGTGCGTGGGAGCCCCGGCCGCCCCCCCCCCCCAGCAACCGAGCAACCGAGCAACCTTCTCTGGGGGTCTCCTGGGGGCGCCAAGGATTCCCTAATAGGATTTCCTAGGGAGGCTATAGGCTTCCGTCGGGATTCTATAGACCTCCCTAGGCATTCTATAGGCCCCCATCGGAATTCTATAGGCCTCCATAGGAATTCTACAGGCCCACATGGGAATTCTATAGGCCTCCATAGGAAATCGATGGGCCTCCATAGGAATTCTATAGGTCTCCATAGGAATTCTATATAAGCCCCCCATAGGAATTTTATCCGCCGCAATACGAATTTTATCGGCCTCCATAGGAATTCTATAGGCATCCATAGGAATTCTTTAACCCCCCAAAAGGAATTCTATAGGCCTACGTCGGAATTCTATAGGTCTCCATCGGAATTCTATTGGCATCCATAGGAATTCTATAGGTATCCATAGGAATTCTACATAGGTCCCCATAGAAATTGTATTGACCTCCGTACGAATTCCATAGGCCTCCATAGGAGTTCTACAGGCCTCCATAGGAATTCTATAGGCACCCATACACATTCTATAGGCGTCCATAGGAATTTCATATGCCCCCATAGGAATTCTATAGGCCGCCATGAGGATTCTATCTGGGCCTCCATCGGAATTTTATAGCCCTGCATACGAATTCTATATAGGCTTCCACCGGGACCCTATAGGCCTCCATCGGAACTCTACAGGCACCCATAAGAATTCTATAGGCCTCCTTACGAGTTCTATAGGCCCCCATCGGAATTCTATACGCCTCCATCGGAATTCTATAGGCTTCTATCGGGATTCCATAGCCCTCCATCGGAATTCTATACGCCTCCGTAGGAATTCTATAGGCCTCTATCTGAATTCTATAGGCCTCCATCGGAAATCTATAGGCCCCCATTGGAATTCTTTACGCTTCGCGTATCCCCACCAGCCCATCTCAAAACAGCAACTCTTGCGAAGCATGCCGACAGTCGTGTTTTTCAGGCGTGTTTCCGCCTGCCCCCGCATATCTCCCCTGTTCCTCCTTCCTCCCGCCTCCTTGTACATCCTCCTTGTGGTGGGAGCGGGAGAAGGACGAGGCGGAGGAGGAGGGAGAGACAGCGCTCCTCGTGGTTTGAGTCGTTTGGGGTTTCTCGTCCTGGTGTGAGTCGTTCGGGCCCTTCTTCCTGGTGTGAATCGTTCGGGCTCTTCGTGATGTGAGTCGTTCGGGCTCTTCGTCCTGGTGTGAGTCGTTCGGGCTTCTCGTGGTGTGAGTTGTTCGGGCCCCTCGTCGTCGTGTGAGTCGTTCGGGCCCCTCCTCCTGGTGTGACTCGTTCGGCTCCTCGTGGTGTGAGTCGTTCGGGGCCCTCGTCGTGGTGTGAGTCGTTTTGGGAGCCTCTTGGAGGCCTTTTGGGGCGTCTTCGGGGCCTCTTGGCGGCCCCAGGGGCTTCTAGGAGCGTATGGGGTGCCTTGGGGGAGCCTCTTGGGGCCTCTGGGGAGCCTCTTGGAGGCGGTTTGGGGCGTCTTGGGGGCCTCTTGGCGGCTCCAGGGGCTTCCAGGAGCGTCTTGGGTGCCGCGGGGGAGCCTCTTGGGGCCTCTTGGGGGCCTCTTGGGAGCATCTTGGGGGCCTCTTGGAGGCCTCTTGGGGGCTCTTGGAGGCCTCTTGGAGGCCTCTTGGAGGGGTCTGGGAGGAATCTTGGGGCCATCTGTCGGGCGATCGATCACAGATGGGGGGAGCATTTTTCTCCCTCCCCCCGTCGGGGCCAGAATCCTCGTGAGGGGTGTCGTTTTTTAGCCCTCCGAGGAGTCGAAAAGACCCCTCCGGCGACCCGCGGAGGGACCTCTCCAGGCCCAGGGGGAGGGGTAGGGGGAGGGGTAAACCCCTCCCCGAAGGGGAAGAAGGGGGGTTGAGAACAGAGCGGGCTCTCTAAACCACTCACGCCCAAAGGGCTGGTGGGATTCCGAAATTGGCGCAGCCGCTGGGGCCTTCGGCGGAGCTCCCCGAGGGGGGCCACGATCCTCGTGAGGGGTGTGCCGAAATTGGCGCAGCCGCTGGGGCCTTCGGCGGAGGTACCCGATTGGGGGCCACGATCCACGTGAGGGGTGTGCCGAAATGGGCGCAGCCGCTGGGGCCTTCGGCGGAGCTCTCCGAGAGAGGGCCACGATCCACGTGAGGAGTGTGCCGAAATGGGCGCAGCCGCTGGGGCCTTCGGCGGAGCTCCCCGGTGGCGGGCCACGATCCACGTGAGGGGTGTGCCGAAATGGGCGCAGCCGCTTGAGTTTTCGGCGGAGGTACCCGATTGGGGGCCACGATCCTGGTGAAGGGTGTGCCGAAATGGGCGCAGCCGCCGTGGCCTTCGGCGGGGCTCCCCGGCGGCAGGCCACGATCTTTGTGAGGGGTGTGCCGACATGGCGCAGCCGCTTGAGTTTTCGGCGGAGGTACCCGATTGGGGGCCACGATCCGCGTGAGTGTTGCGCCGAAGTGGGCGCAGCTGCCGTGGCCTTCGGCGGGGCTCCCCGGCGGCAGGCCACGATCCTTGTGAGGGGTGTGCCGACATGGCCGCAGCCGCTGGGGTCTTCGGCGGAGCTCCCTGATGGCGGGCCACGATCCACGTGAGGGGTGTGCCGAAATGGCCGCGGCCGCTGGGGCCTTCGGCGGAGCTCCCCGATGGGGGGCCAATGTCCGCGTGAAGGGTGTGCCGAAATGGGCGCAGCCGTTGTGGCCCTCGGCG